CAAAATAGTCTTTGGTAATGAATACGTTTTCTTGATAGACAACAACCATTGAATCCAACATACTGTACTTCTCAATTTCATTGTCTATTGTTTTGCGTGGCACTATCAACATTGGTTTGAGTTTTGTTAAATCACCCCCAAATTCCAGCAACAAGACTTATTCGTTTGACTGCTCTGTCAATGGCATGTTTTGATTTAAATGGTTTTGTTGGGTCACAATACACTGTCCGAAATTTTGTGTCAACAAAAGGAACAAATCCCGATTCCTCCATGTTGAGAATGAGAAATGGAATTACACCAGACAGTTTTATCGATTCTTTAAAACAATATTTATGACAAAAAAAATTGTCGAGCAAAGACTCAGCTTTTTCAATGTATTTCTTTAATTCATCATTGGATAAATTTGCTCTTCCCTCCTCCATTGGTTTAGACTTGTGTGTGTTTTCTCAACCAGTCTAATATTTGTCTTCTAGAATTTTTTTCAATGACAGATTAACAAAATGCGTGATTGTGTCTCCCGTCGCCTGTTCTGGAGTGTTTTGAAGGCGTTGTATTTCTTCAATATTTTTATCTTTTTCTTTTATTGTAAAAAGCAATACTTTGCCACCGTTTGACTTATTCGTTTTAATTGGAACCGTCAATCTTTTGCCATATGACATACAAGTATTAACATTGGCAATTTAAATTTTAAAAATGGTTTCAAATAAAATTTGATTTGAAAAAACGTTTTTCGGAAGTACGAACTCTGTTCTTCAAGAAGTTAAAATTGTTTAATAGTTTCTTCGTGTTCTTTTATAAAAGTTACAATTTCCTATTTGTTTTTAATATTGTCAGAAATTAACTCCGTTGAAATCAATTGGGAAAAAATGAGTTTTTTGTGCTTTATCGTTTGGAATTGATATTTAAAATTTCGTTAATTAACAACATTTTAAAAGCAAAATTGTATATAAAAAATTTTATAAAATTAATCAACTATGATAAAAATAGTGATATATAAAATGACATCTGTTGTTAAATTTTTTTGTAGGTTATGTTTAAATAAATTTTTATTCTCATTATGTTACCACTAATAAGTATAACACTTAATAACATTATGATATAATTATATAAATTGAAGTTGTGATTAATAGTGTGTTTTTGTGTTAAAAAACATATATCATCATAATTTTTATTGTTTTTATAATATAGTATAAGTCTAAAAACACTATTTATAAAATAATTAATTTAATAATAAATTTGATTTTTCAAAAAAATTTATTGAATGAAAAAAAATTAAAAAAAAAGAAAATCAAAAAAATTATTCAACAAATTAAAATGTGTTTTATTAAAAAAATAAAGAATTGATTTGTATGAAAAAAATGGGATTAAAAAATGAATTGATTAAATTATATTAATATAAATGAATTCCTTATTTAATATTATAAGATCTTTTATTCATTTATATAACAGTACGATATTATTATATTCATTGAGATGTACTTTATAACCGAATATAAATCATTAGTACAACAAAATGAATAATGATAATATTTATAAATCAAATAACAAATAAAAATAAAATTGTGTGAGTAAAGATATAATCAAATATAAGATGAGTTTAATTAATAACCAATATTGTAAATATAATACAAATAAAACGATATTAATTATTACTCTTTAAAAAACATTGATAAAGAGTTTAGAAAAATATATAGAATTTTTTGCATAAAGTAAAATAATATGGCAAACCATGATAAAAATATAATGAAAAAAATATTTTAATGAATCATGAAAGATATATGATGAAAAAAATATAATACATAGATGTTGGCAATATAAATAGCAATATAACTATTAAATGATCTTGAAATTCGATAAATTAAGATGTTAATCAAAGCCTACTAAACCAATAAATAAATAACTATCGATTAGCCCACATAGTACAGAGGTAGTACATCAGATTGTGGCTTTGATAACCCAGGTTCGATTCCTGGTGTGGGCACCTTTTTAATTTTTACAATGAGAGTGTAAGTACAAATAATAAAACCTGATAATACCCTAATGATTCCGATTATTCGAATATATTAATTAAAATATAAAAAAGACCAAACACTTTAACTTTAAGAAAAAAAAATGATAAGTTGCAAATATGAAAAAATGAAACCATAGAAATTATTTATGATCAAACATTAATAAAAAGAATAAAACATTAAACAAATTAGATCCAAAATTATTCTTATTAAACCATTGAATTTCTTTTTTTACCATTAGAATTTTTTATTTTTTTCTTTTTTAATATTATAAGATCTTTTATTCATTTATATAACAGTACGATATTATTATATTCATTGAGATGTACTTTATAACCGAATATAAATCATTAGTACAACAAAATGAATAATGATAATATTTATAAATCAAATAACAAATAAAAATAAAATTGTGTGAGTAAAGATATAATCAAATATAAGATGAGTTTAATTAATAACCAATATTGTAAATATAATACAAATAAAACGATATTAATTATTACTCTTTAAAAAACATTGATAAAGAGTTTAGAAAAATATATAGAATTTTTTGCATAAAGTAAAATAATATGGCAAACCATGATAAAAATATAATGAAAAAAATATTTTAATGAATCATGAAAGATATATGATGAAAAAAATATAATACATAGATGTTGGCAATATAAATAGCAATATAACTATTAAATGATCTTGAAATTCGATAAATTAAGATGTTAATCAAAGCCTACTAAACCAATAAATAAATAACTATCGATTAGCCCACATAGTACAGAGGTAGTACATCAGATTGTGGCTTTGATAACCCAGGTTCGATTCCTGGTGTGGGCACCTTTTTAATTTTTACAATGAGAGTGTAAGTACAAATAATAAAACCTGATAATACCCTAATGATTCCGATTATTCGAATATATTAATTAAAATATAAAAAAGACCAAACACTTTAACTTTAAGAAAAAAAAATGATAAGTTGCAAATATGAAAAAATGAAACCATAGAAATTATTTATGATCAAACATTAATAAAAAGAATAAAACATTAAACAAATTAGATCCAAAATTATTCTTATTAAACCATTGAATTTCTTTTTTTACCATTAGAATTTTTTATTTTTTTCTTTTTTAATATTATAAGATCTTTTATTCATTTATATAACAGTACGATATTATTATATTCATTGAGATGTACTTTATAACCGAATATAAATCATTAGTACAACAAAATGAATAATGATAATATTTATAAATCAAATAACAAATAAAAATAAAATTGTGTGAGTAAAGATATAATCAAATATAAGATGAGTTTAATTAATAACCAATATTGTAAATATAATACAAATAAAACGATATTAATTATTACTCTTTAAAAAACATTGATAAAGAGTTTAGAAAAATATATAGAATTTTTTGCAT